TGCAAAATACAATAATAATTATGAAACTGCTATCGTTATTTTATGACAACTTACACATTTATTTCTTTGTTGCAATAGCTTTGATAATCCGCAAGTAGCCACTTTTAATAAACTCTTTGACAAAGTTTGTATAAACACTAATTCTATTATTACAAATTATAGCCTCCATTTTAACACTCTGTAACGCTATAAACTCTATACAGTTGAATAGCAGACTGGTTATACTTGCTTAACGACCATTTCTACTTTTTCTAATACATTTTTAGTGCAAACATCTGACTGTCTTGCAAGTACTACACGATACTACCATCGCTCAAAGCAAGCAGACACGAAATGAGCTTATGAAAAAGTAATAGATATATTTCTATTTATCGAACTCTATTCATTTGTCACAAAGACACATGTAGCGCCGAAAGAGTAAACGAGCAGCGTTTGCACTAAGTTACTGATCGTCTGATTCATTTTATGTTTTTAGATGGCTCCCTCAACGTCCAGCTTTAGTCATTGCCCTTGGCAAGTCTCTCTATGAATTACAGCAAGATACACCTCAGTTCCACTTAGATTCTATAACTCTACCTACATAAAGACAAAATGTATCAATTTCAGATTGGTATTCTTGTACTAAAATATGAAATTATGCATCATTACCTGTAACAACAAGCATAGTATTGAAAATTTTATGAAGAGTCTACGAATTTCTCATTTAGCTTTCTTCATGCTCCCACATAGCTATGCGTGCAAACTGTGTGCGCATTCATTAATGGACTTGCTGAGAGTTACCATTGTTATGAATTATTTTATGGTCAATCTGCATAAAATGCCGCCATTAATTTAGCTATTTATATGGAAGTAATCTTTTCTATTATAAAAATTTAGAACTTTTAGTCTTATTTTATTAAATTGACATAATAATTTACAAGCTTACTGATTCATTGTCTGATTGCAAGTTAGATAATCTAATATTTTTAAATAAAAATATTAAAATGTGTATCTTTAATATTTGAAGTGTAGTAAATACTCTTCTACAATCATGTAACAGAATGAGGTATTAATTTCGGGGATAATGATTGACCCTATCGGCAGTTATATATCAACAATAGTGATAAGCTAACAGCAATAAGTAATAAATTTAATTATAATTCCTAGATATTGCTACTTTATGAGCGTCATTATCTAATTATGAAAGGTATAATGACTTAAGTTTTAAGTTTGATACATGCAGTACTACAGTATAATGCAAGTCTTCCAAAGCAGCTTTGAAACAAGATTACGTAATGCACGGTCAATAATTTGATTCTCTGAACCATGTATCATATTCGTGTAATGCTTACCCATTCATATTCGATTACGTAATCCGATAATAGAATAATACAGTTTATATAGTACCGACAAATAGTAATTACAGTAAATTACAGTAGTAATCGTTCCATTGTAAATAATTTAGTGTATTCATTTTAACGTATTCATTCATACCTATTCGTTCGAGTACACTTATAACATTAAACATACACGTACAATTACAATTATAATAAGCACAAACGTAACATAAAACATAATATTATTATATTCATTCGATATTATATTATTATTTCGCAATATTATTCCCATGTTATTATATATCCATACGATCCATTCCGTATTCAATGATACAATTATATCATATAAAATAATAATAAAAGTTTTTACACGTTAATAAAATACATATAAGAGTATATAACAATATACATTTTACTATCTTAATACGCATTTAACTAATCGATATACTATATACGAGTTCAATAATATCTATACTAATCGATTATTACCATAATAATATAACCTTAATATCAATACTTGACTAATAATACACATACGAGTATCGTCGATTGCTATTAAAATCACAAAATACAATCTACTACATAATCTACTAAACATTCCTACTATACAATCTACATAATCTAACATATATGCGTACAATACACTCTACAGCATACGAACTACAGTACTATAAAATCTAAACTCCTAACTCGCTATTCTACTCTAAATATTCTATGTTATACGCTATTTATACGTATACACAATCGCATTCTATATTTAACATTACAGTACAATATATCGATATTTACGCCCTGTAATATTTGTGTAATGCGCACTCATTCATATTCGTTTATGTGATCACATCCGATAATATAATAATACAGTTTATATAGTATACAGTAATTTCAATAAATGACAGTAGTAATCGTTCCATTGTAAACAATTTGGTGTATTTATTTTAGCGTATTCACTTATACGTATTTATTTCAATATAATATTGAGTAAACATATAAATAAAATAAAATACATTAACCGATATTATACTTACTACATAGTCATATGTTAACAATTCAGTCTGCCACTGAGTATACAATTACAATATATACGAGTATAATATCGATTACTTATCAATCATTTCTATATTCACGTACCCTTGAGAAATGAAATACATTGTAAGTGTATCATCAATTACTATTAGAGTCATCAAAAACATTATCTATAGTACAATTTATATAATCCTAATTAAAATTGTCACTCGGTGAACAATGAACATTAACAGCTCACCAATAACTGCCATTGTAGTGTTATCTATATTGTAAAGTAAACGGGAACTGCTTCGTAACAACCGCTAGTGCTATCTACTATGTATACCCATACGTTATATAAGTTATGGCCAATATGTATAAATATACTGTATTTAGCTATCTACATCTATGTTTATACTTAATCATCTATCTCCATTCACAATCAACAAAAAGAGTTCCCCAATAACTGTTACATATACATACATGTATATATATATGCTGTCTATGTCCGTTCACTATGGACGGCAATAGTGTAGTAGCTAAACAACTGCTAGTGCTATTACTACTCTATACTCATATGTATATCTATATAGCTATATAAGTATAATCATATATATATATATGTGCAATTTATGTTCTGACATTTACACAGTTTGGCTAGAATATATGTTACTGCTTGCAATTAATTCCTTAATCATCATCCTCAGAGCTGTACCCATAACTATCTTAAACAGTTCACACTCTTTCTAATATTTTAAATTATACTGTACAATTTCTATATGCCTACTTTAAAATCAGATACAAGGGCTAATCTTCACTATACCTTGAGTTCCAACAAAATAGAAGTGCCAGCCGTAAGATTATGTTTCAGTAACCGATTGTATGCACAATAATTAACAAAAGGAAATAAAGGTTGTCTTATGATCCTTAGATTTTAGCATCCCACAGAAAGTTTTATTCTTGCCGAGAAGAGTTAGAAATGATTACTTCATAATCATTTTCTGATATTAAATTTTCATTCCTCATATCAATTAGCAGCTCTTCTATAGGTATGTCACTGCAGCGATAATCTGTATAGAACTTCAAAGCATTATCAATATATTTCCACTCTTCCATTGTAATTATTTTCCATCAGACTATGTGGTGTCATTTCTGGAATACTATAACGACACGGAAATATTTAATTTTAGTTTTAGCTACCTAAATAGTTACGGTACTATCCCTGAGTGTTGAAAGTTTAACATCGTAAAGGCTTTGCCAATTAACTATAACTACTCGTACAGTATTTCAGCTTTAATTGAAATCCATACTGAACTACACCACATACAGTCTATAACATTTTGCTAACAACCTATGACTCTAAATGCTGTTACAGATATTAATTTCAGTGCTATTGACAAATTCATCAACAACAGATTTTTGTTGGCTTTTACAGTTGAAATGACTTTTAGTACATACCGTATGTGCATTGCAGCTAATCTGTTTGGTAATCAATTCAATTAATATATTGTTTTGATAAAAATAACACGTTGTGATGGAATAATTACAGTACAGTACAGTACAGTGGTTGCAGATCTTGTTATTTATCAACGAAAAGATTTCAAGATTTATAATACGAATAAGTAGCATAAGAAAATTAGACTCTAAATATAGAAAGTAAAGACTATGGTACTTTACTGTAATGTATTGTATGGATGGACATGCTATATTGGGCATGAAAGCAATAAGAATATTGATTGAATACAGCTGATCAATATTCGCTTGGTTTTTTAAACCTTAACTAATTATTTTATATACTTAAAAGCATAAAAACATAAAAGGAAAAAAATTTCCATTTCCATTCAACTTAGTGGCCACAAATAACGAAGAGCAATATTCTTACTGTCCAATGTGCACTAGTGTACGCTATTTAGCCTCGCTCTTCGTCAAACTAGAGCTACTTTTTTATTTTCTACCTTACAGACTCAACTTGACATCAGAAAGTAAGGCTAACGATGCAGAATACTAATGTCAGCTATCCGCTGAAAATGTTGATTCGTTCCGTTAAACTTGGCAAGCAGGTTTAGGAAATACCTTATTCTTTTAACAGTGTCCTTCATCGGGCCCAGGTCCACTCTGTGTGATCAGTTAAAATCACTACAGATAAACATAATTTATCGAGATGTAGCCACGTTTTAGCGCCATTTCTAGCACAGCGTAATTTAGCTAATAACTAAATGAGCACAGTAAAATAGTTGTTTAACGATTACACTTACCGTCTCTTTTTGTTGTAAGCGTTTACCCGGAGACTTTCAAGAGAAAAGCTTGCAATTCTCTGATATACCGCAGCTCTACTTCAAAAGGAAGCAAGTATTTTACCCCAAAATTGGAAGAAGGCTAAAATCATTAATCGCCGGGTAAATTTATCGTTGTTTCTAAATTTTGTAAAGAAATTCTGTAACGTCGGCGAATGGTAAGGCTTAAGCCTGAGTATAGAGAGTAGCAGGCAGACTGAGTCCGTCAAAATCCATCTAAATAAAATCCTAAAATCGGAAAAAGATTGAATTATATATCAACTAGTGCATTGGATTATTTGAAGGTTTTAATCGAATCCTTATCCAGAAAATAAATAGTAGATAGGTAACACTCTACTTAAATAATCATGATGCGTATATACGAATTACAGCTTCATACTGTATATGTAATCTTAAGCAGCTTACTAGACTGTTAACATTGAGATAATTTTAATTTTAACTTTTAATGAGTTTTAATCCATTCTATCGTGACTAGGGCTAAAATTATAACTAAAGAGCGTATTAAGTTATTTCTATAATGAAAGAAACTTCTAATTCGGCTTCTCTTCCAAATCTATATATTTAGTTTAGGTAGAGGTTTGTATAAAAAATAACACCAGCACCATTAAATAAATCGTAACTGTGTATTTTACACACTGTGGAGAAAACTAGGAATAGGAATACACCCATTTATACATACACATAATTTATAAACGTTAACTGAAGATAATCCAGTTGTAAAAGTTATCCATCATCACTCCTGTATAATATAAAAGTACTGTTGTTTCCATATACGAGTTATCTGGGCAAACATAATTATTTTAATATACGCCTTTAAAGCTTTTTCTAGGAGCTTAATATAAAATAATTAATTATTTTACTTTAATTTCTCTTCCACTGTCATGGATCTATCTCATTATTCAGAACTGTATAAGTATAAGCTACTCATGCAGCATCGAGAGGAATGAGTATATCTGTCGTAATAGGCAG